TTTATAATAAGAACCGTAGGGAGTACATATAAAGTTTACAAAGAAAATGTGTACAAGAAATGATGCTATTTTAATCTAAACTAATTCCTTACATAAATACATAAGCAGATAACCTCTAAATAGGAAGTGTAAAAATAAATGAATATGATGTAATCCAAATCATTTCTCACTTTTTCCTGTAATAAATTGTTCTGTACGTATCATTAGTTCATTACTCGTCAAAATTTTAGCTTGGTGTTCTTAAACGGTGTTCGTAAGTGTGATAGATAGGGCTTCGCGACATTTTCGGGTTGAATGGAAATGTAAGTTATTCGTATTAATGGATGATCAATATTGTTTCTGTAAAGGTATGTAATATTGTTGAGCTACATTTTTACAGGGCCCATCTTAACATTTAGCGATATATTTTGGAATAAATTTCTTCCGATTATGTATCGATATATTATTTCTTTACGTAGTTAAAGATGTAAATTTTGATTAATGATTTCTTTTCCCTTTTTTTTTTAAGGGAGCAGTAACTTGAATTTTTGATCAAGGGAGAGGACATTACAACTTATTTGCAAGTTGCAACAATCAAGTTTTCAAAGGGATATGATCTAATTAACACACTGTCGCGACAACATCATAGTTGAAATAGTAAGTTAAATGCCTTAATTAAACTTATCCTACGTGCAATATGATCGACATTTGACTGTTTAATATTTAGGTTTCATATCACTCTATCCCGTTTAAATTATCTCTTATAAATCGGACCACAACGAGAATATATATATATATATATATATATATATATATATATATATATATATATACACTAGTGATGTCTGGTCGCGCAATGCGCGACCCTGGCCCAGTATATCTGTAGATCTTAGAAATGTTTGTATTTGAAAAAAATATATTTTGCACTTGACCCGATATATTTTAGAAATGTTTGAAAAATTTAGAAATGTTTTAGAAGTGTGATCATAGAAATGTTTGTATTTGGCAAAAAAAAGAAAGTGTATTTGGCCCGGTACGTTTTAGAAATGTTTGAATATTTTTAGAAATATTTTATAAGTGTTACTTATTAAATATAAATAAACTTGATCAAGCATATCTCTTGAAGTAAGATATAAAAGCATCCTAATAAGTTTAAATATTAGTAAGATGATTTATTGATGTTCTCCATTTGTCGTGCCAAATTAATACTTGGTTTTGGAGATTTATAATAGTTTCGTAGTAAGATTCCTCCGAAGGGTATACATTTAATTGTTGGAACTGTTTTTTCCAAAGGCTTATAGCTAGTAAAATATCAAAAATATGATTTTGAAACTGATTCATTGTTGAAACTGGTTGATCAGAAATATGAGAATGAAAATTAATGTAAATTTGCATAGGTTTCAACTTATAGCAAAAAAGAACTCACCTCACCATGGCAAATAAAAAAAATAAGTAAAAGAGTCCATTAAAAATTGAGAAATTTTTTTTTCCTGTAGGTAAAAATGATGTATAAAACACAAATAAACGTAGAAACATCATTCCTTCCCTCTCCACCTCAAATTTATAAAAGGCTTCCCCATAAATTAGTTAGAAGAAGCGACCTGAACCATTTATATGATGAGTACTTTAAAAAAGTCCAAAAACCAAATCCAAAAAAGTATATTCTTGAAAGTCCGAATATAAAAAAAAAACGCGCTTCATTTGCAATAATAATAATAATGATAATAATAATAAAAAAGAAAATTGGTCAAATGAGAGTATGAAACAAAATCAAAAGCAATTAAACAAAGAAAAAACACAATTCATAACTGACCATATACGAAAAAAAAACTGAGACTCCATAATTAAAAAAATGAAAACCACTTTAAATGAATAAAACATAAAAAAGAAATTACGAAAACCACACTTTGTGACAAAAACCCAATTGATCAATTCAATTCAAACAGAACTAAAATCATACAAACATTCTAAACTGACTAACCATATAAGAAATCACATCATATTACCTGGCAACGGCTACGGTAGCTGTAACGGGTAGACGCATAAAAATAATAGTAATAACACTATTCTTGAACGGGAAAAATAAAAAATAATAAAATCCGTACAAATGATCTGTGGATATAAAATTATTTAAATTTTAATATCTGTAATGGCACCACCACAACGGCCGAAAGCAACATTAATGAGAATTTTTTTTCCATTTGTGTTTATATAGAGAGGTAAAGAGAATATTTTTTGAAGTCGAAATTTTATCTGATTAGGATGTAGTTGATCATCACTAATGAAAAGATTGAACATGCTAATAAGAAAGAAGTATATTTCACCACATATTCTCAATTGATGATTGATGAGGAATTTGTTTTTTTTTTTTTTTATTGTGGAGAAGGGATTGATTAGGGAGTCGATTGTCGTGGAGATGGAGATGAGGATTTGTGTTTTTTATGAAGCCGTGTTTTTTTTTTTGTTTCGGCGAAAATAGGAGGTGGTGGTGGATTTGGACTGCATTTGCCTTTTAAGTCTAGGAAATTGATGTGTAAATAAAAAATTATTTTAAAAATATGATGTGGAAATGCCACATGGCAAATGGTGGTGCTTTCTCTTAAGTGTGGTTTTTGTTTCTAATATAGTAAGATATATATATGTATTAGGTTGGGGACCGCACAAGGTGCGGTCTTACCCGAACAATTTGAAACCTAGGATATGGTACATTATAAATTTCTAGATTGTTAAGGTCAAGTGCTAATGTAATATGAAAATTACTAATCAACTGTGATAAAGCAAGGAGAAGCTCCTGTGTGTCCACCGGAGGATGTTGAAATCCAATGTAAATTCACAATGCACAAAAACATTTACTTGCACTATACCAAACTTTGAGGCCTCTGTTAGCACATAATAGCACATGAATCCAAAACCATTGTCAGATTGCGGCAGATCTTCAATGTTCGCACTACTTTTTCTGCAAGGATGAAAACTCCTAAGTACATAACAAACTTAAGGACACAAAAAGTTGCAGGTAACACATTCTAAATACTTGTGATTACTCTGAATTTGTAGCAGGTATTTCTAGTCGTTTTAATGTATCAAAAGTTTGATTTTAATTAGAAACGATATAGACAACATGGGTTTTTCATATAACGAACCTTGTGGTGATCTGCTAGGAACAACAGCCAAGCTAAACTCCACATGTTATTTGAAAAGTAACAAAAAGTAGATTAAACTATTCGATGCAGTCTTTTCAATCCAAATTTTCAGAAGCAAAATAGCAAGTGAGAAATTGCTAATCACTTAACATAGAGAAATTACTAATCACTTACCAAATTTTTACCCGACAGAAAACATAAGGGAATCTCAGAAGCGGCTTGTAAAGTCTCAAATTCCTGCAAAAAGTGCAATGTTACAAACACCTCTGGAATGAAGCTCTCAATTGGCAAGCGGAGCCATCTCCCAGTGCAAGCAAAGATCCCTTGCTCTCATTTTCAGCAGGGTTGGGGAGAAATTGGCATAAAGAAAGAAACTTTTTGTCACTTTTTGTCACAATATTCACAGATTTAAAACATATATATATATATATATATATGAAATTCTATGGTCCAGTTGTTCATTATTGACTGAATTATTTAATTAAAGACTAACCAATCAGAAATTAGCAACACAGATATTATCATGGGTGAGAAGCATACAAACAAATCTTAAATTGAATGGTAACCTGGTAATTATATTAATTACAAGGATAAGTTCTAAATTAACTAATGTATGTGCATGTTTTTTAAACATAATTTTGAGAATATTACGTCAAAAAATCAAAAAGTACTAACTCTTCAATTCTCAAAGTTTCCAAAATTGAAAATGCATGCTCTGTAATGATTAAAGAAGAACTCTGCAGTTTCATTGGTTCGAATAATAATGATGAGTCTGTAGACAATGATGGTGTTATAAAGAATCCGGCTGTAAAGAGGAAGAAGTTTGGTCCCAGGAACGAACGTCCTAATAGCTTTGTTGAGAAGGCATGTAACAAAGTTAGAGGCAGGAGAACAAATGCAAGAATTGCTGCTGACCGAACAAGAACTTCAGTTGCATCAGACCTGCATTATCAAAGCATGCCATTTCCTTATCCAAAAGGAGCTGCTCAAGATTTTTCAGGCTCAGGAAGTTTTGCTGCTGTGAATACTTCCCATCAAAGTATGCCATCTTTGAATGTAAATTCTGGTGGATTCTCATTTACTAATCCAAGTGTAGCTGCCCAGGATTTTTCAGGGGCAGGGGCTTCCACTTCTGTGAATGCTTCTCATCAAAGCATGCCATTCATCAACAAAAATTCCGGTGGATTCTCATTTCCAATTCCCAAGGGAGCTGGCCAGGAGTTTCAAGGCGCAAGCACTTCCGCTGCTGTGCATGCTTCTCATCAAAACATGACATTCATGAATCAAAACTTTGGTGGGTTCTCATTTCCTAACCGAAGGGAAGCTGCCAGGGAGGCTGGAGCGCAACGTCTCTTCAACAAGATGTTTTATTAGTATTTTACTTGATGTTGAAATGAACAGTATTGATGGTGTAAAGATTTTTATTTAAAAAGTAGTATTTATTTTAAATTGCAGTATTATCCAACCAGTTTGAACTGGTTATCGATTTTGTTTGTACTGGATATCCAAGTGATTATTTTAAATTAGTTATCCGTTGTGTTCATGCTCATTATCCAACCAGTTTGAACTGGTTATCCAACTTGTTTGTACTGGATATCCACCCATTTGGTTTGTATGCCTATTGAACTTGTTTGTACTGGGGATCCCACTTGTTTGTACTGGATATCCATTTCGTTTGTACTGGATATCCAACTCGTCTATACTGGATATTCAACTCGCCTGTACCGGATATGCAACTTTAAATGCATATAGATATTACAAAAAAGACATAAACACGTTGAACACGCTTTCTTCACAAATAATATCATAGATAATGTGGATAATTATTTTCAGTAATAAGTTAACAAGGGAAAGATAAATTTTTTTAAGGAAAAAAAAAACCTAAAAGTGTGTTAATATCTCCCAGAAGTAACACGCTGAAATGATGAAACTGGTTTCTAGATCCGGCGATGTACTTGAGTGTGTGATTTTCCTGGTAGGAACACTATACAACAGCAAATGTCGATTATCATATCCTTTGACAATGAACTGTCCCGCTGGAGATGATTTGTGACTTAGAAACACTGGATAAAGCCAATCATGGCGGAACTGTAATCCGAGTGGAACGTGTGTGTTCACATTTGGGAATTCATGGGTCTCGAACATGCAATCCCATATGGAAGTATCTGGATCCCATGCCCACATCTGACAGTGATGATTCTGAGTAATGTGGTACTCATCTATTACACACAAAGTCCCCTGGAAGTCCAATATTTTCACTTGGAGATTCATATGATAAGGATCAATGGGGTTAAAGAAGATTGGAGATGGAGGGCAGTTTATGGTTTGGAATTGTTGAGTGTGATAGTCAAACACGACCAGCAACTCTTGAGGTGTTGCTATTTTAGAGGATAGTTTGTCTACACGCCAGTACACGAATCTATCAAACCAGGTTCCATCAGATACAAGGCAAGGACATACATTGCAAAGTGTTTTCCATTCCCCTCTACGAATACTTGAACAACTTTGAAAAGAAAAAATGCAGCCTTGCATGTTTTTTCCATCGGCAATAAGGGCCATGAAAATGTAAGTTTTTGAGGATGATACGTACCCAAATGATGTTTCACAATTGCTGAGAGGGACATCATATGGCCATTCAATTGATGCAAGTTGTGTTGTCTTTGGGTTCAACAATTTGATTTGAGACCTGGTTTGTAAACAGACCAAATCTGTGGTGATAGGCATGATTTTATGGATGTCGTCGTGACCCATCGACATCTCTTCTTGCAATCGTATGTGGTTGCATGGGTTATCCATTTGCACTTTTATGTTGGTGGCGATTAGTTTGTCTTGCAACAGGTAACCTTCTTGGCTTGTTTGAGTGAAAACAAGGATGTTGTTTTCAGTTGCAGGGTAGCTCATCTCACGTTTTTGAAGAACAAATTCTTGTCTTTTCGTCATTTGCTCCCAAGCTTTGCTGACACGACGGAATTCACCAATTTTTTCCAAGGTCAGATTCATGAACATATTATCAAGCATATCGTAATGGATATATTCAGGGTAGTTGTTCTTTTCTTGCTTTGCTTGCCTGGGGGACATTTGTTTGGTTATGGAATTTGAGGAAATTTTTTCGTTTTTCATTTTTTTCTGGCTGTTGGATGTTTTGGATGCTCAAACCAGGCGTTCTGGTGTATGTGCAGATGAGGGAGTTTTATAGAAATGTTGTATGTGGAGATGTCAAGGAGTTTTATGGAGACTTTGCAGGTAGTTTTTTTTTTTTTATGATATTGACAGAGGTAGTTTGGCGGATTAACTACCCATGCAGTCCTATCTTTTTGCACAAATCAGTGTCTTCTCACTCTCTATTAATTAACTGTCATTCTGATAATCAAGAAACTCATTTAATGACAGTTATGTAACTGATCCTTATTCAATTCATTCCATGTAAAAACGTGTGGCTCTGTAACTACCTATTAGAGCATGATGTACTCTGCACAAACATCAGTCTTTTCAGTTTTCTTTTTTTATTTTTACTCCCTCAATTTTTTAAATTCTATTTAATTACAAAACTTGTGGCTTTTCAGTTATACACAGTAACATGCTCCGCACTGTGGATAACCAGTATTGACACTGTGGATAACTAGTGTGCACACTATGGATAACCAGTTAAACACAGCTGGATAACCAGTGTTGACACTTGGGACAAACATTTTTCATAAAGAATAAAAACAAAGTAAAAATTCAATAAGCATTACAAACCGTTTGGATAATCAGTACTAACACATTGGGCAAGTACTGATAACCATTTTAGATAACCAGTGCAAACCAGTTTGAAAGTCATTAGAAAATGACTGGATAACCATTATTAATCTATTGGATAATCAGTGTTGACAACGTGGACTATCATTTTTTTCCTTTTATATTTTTCTTGGATATCTTTGTCCGTATTTTTTACACTGGTTATCCAGCTGCCCCTCATTCATTTTTTGTTCTCCATCATTTGGCAAACTGCCCATCATTCAATTAAATACTATTTATGAAATTTGCCATGTTCGGCATGGGGGCGGCACAGCCGCGGGCACCGGCGCAGCCGGGTCGTGTAGTTTATCACGGGGGGATTTATACAAGTAATTTGTGTCCCCTCTTAACGCAGTAACACACTCTCCTTACACACACACGAAAAAAGAATTACCTTAGCTACATTGGCGTGTTCGGCGGGGCGGCGCAGCCGGGGCAGGCAGGTTGGTGACCTGCGATTCCGGTAGCCGCAGGAGTCGTTTAGTTTATCATGGGGGGCAAAGCCCACCAATTAACATGCCGTTTGCTTCTTTAATTAACATGCTCAGGTTGGACAGCCTCTTTTGTAGTCTCAGAGGTAGTTTGACGGATTATTGCTGTTTTAGTTTATGTTAATTTTAATCTATGTTAATTTATGGAACCTGAGTTAATTTGATGCATAATTTATTCTGCACATTGGCTAGATAACCAGTACAAAAGTCCTAGATAATCAATACAGAGAATTGGATAATCAGCAAAGAAATATTGGATAATCAGTATAACATCATAGGATAGGCAGTTTAATAAAGAAGTAGAAAGACCAAGAAATTGGGACACTCAGTTTTTGTTGTTTGGGAATTTACAGAAATATTTGGACAACCAAAATACATTGTCTGGATATTTTCTTATGGATATTTTCTTTTGTTATGTCTTTTTGGAAGCCCTGTCTGAATCCTTGTTTTGTTATGTCCACATGGTGGATAGACATTGGTTACATATGGATAAGCAATATTGAGATTTTGGATAACAAGTATAAACTCATGGATAATCAGGTTAAAGACTGTACTTGCATTTTTTTGATTGGATAATCACTATAAAATATTCGGATAATCAGGTGTAACAAGTTGGATAACTAGTACAAAGATCCTGGATAACCATTACAAACTGTTGGATAATATACTAGGATGGCCAGTACACAGGTGTTGGATATCAAACACTTTATGATCAATAGTCAATCAATTATACAAGAGAACATAATGACAGTTCATTTAACCCATCCCTCAATTTTTCTGTCATTGTAGTAAGATTTGCTGCTCAAATCAACATGATCTGGAATTTGGTTTTGTCCTTCTTCAGCAGTATTTGTATAGAACTGGTGCATTCCTTCGAGGATTTTGTCCTTATTTTTGTTGACTGGGTGCATTAGGATTTTTATCATGTATTTCCACCGGTACTCTTTGATGTTTCCCGTGTTAAAATCCAAAGTAGTGCAATCCTCTTATTCACCACCATCATACCGCTTCATGTGATGCATTGTGTATATTCCACAATCTTCCGCATTCAGCGTTTTGTCCTTATGCGATGGTAGCGTAACCTCTGTGAAGGTGTATTAAGTACTGACCAGTTCTATGCGTGGAAACACGCATGCAACGTAGCTTTTGAAGAACTGAAACTGTGATGCCATGAAATCCAGGGATCAGCAAAATGCAATGAATAATTCTTAAAGTATGACAATCATTTTGTATTATTTTTTCACTCACAAGTAGATCATTCGTTGGGTTATAGTAGTCCAGATCTTTTGAATGAATATTGTTGAGGACAAGCACTTTCTTTTCTTTAACCAGCAACACATACAAGAAGTAATGGTCTTGGTAGGGTACTGGGAAGTAGATTTGATATTTCACATTGAAAGGGGAAATCATATGAAAAATTTTTAACAGCCAGTTTTAGAAGAGTGAAGGAGGTGAAAGATGTTGCTTACAGCTTTTGCCGCTAACATGGATGCTACAGTAAGGCCTTGTTCTTCTAGTTCAAGACCCAACCCTCTCATAGAATGTGAACTCGATTTCGTCTTTGTTACTGCCCTGTTGATAGTAGCGACTGATTGTATCCTGCGTTATTGTTTGAGATGGTTGGAAAATGATAAAATTATCAGTATAATGGTTGGAAAATGCAGTAGAAAACAATGATCGAAATCAAGCACATACAAAGTCAACCAAATGTACCCTAGATGACACACAAGAAGGAATGGTTAACTAGTTCAGATCTTGTGAATAAGTAGTACAGAACAGATGGATAACCAGCAAATGAATCATGGACAAGCCACCACATAAAAGGGAGACGAAAACAATCCCACAGCAAAATGCATAACAAGAAGGCTTGGATAACCAGTTCAATTCTGGTGGACAAGCATTAGTAACAAATTGGATAATAAGTACAAACACATGGATAAACAACTTGCAGACATGTGACAAGTATTTTACCAGGGCGGGATAAACAATTAGGGTTTAGTTGACTTACAAATAACGAAACACCAAAGAATATCCGTCTTGGGGAGTCACTCTTAGCTTCTTCTTTGTTTAGGATGGCAGCCCAAGCATCTATGATGCTGTTTTCTATCCATGTCCCTTCCCTCATGGAATAGAATGCTGTCATGTCTGCCCAAACTATTTTTCCAAATTCAAACAAGAGTTTCCGGCATAGAAAAAGTAGTCAAATAGACAAATAGTTAGAAAATTGGTAAGTTTTTTATCCCACGGGTAAGGATGGTGACTTTTACCCTGATTTAACTATTTCTTCTTCTCTTTGTAAGAGAGCGAAGTCTATCAACATGGCTTCTTCTTGGGTCATTTTCTTCTTCTCCTCTGTCCACTGTATGTATTTTTTCTTGTTCTTCTTCTGGAGCATGAATGGTGACCTGAACCGTTCGGGCAACTGGCGGACTCTTGCTGGATTTCTCCTCTTAGGTTTTTCATTGAGGATCCTGGGACAAAACAAAAGAGAGTTAGTATGTAAATTCATCTTTCTATTTTGTAGTGAGAAGTCACAGTGGATCAAACTTACTTTTCCACTATCTTTGTTAACTCTCCATCAAGCTCATCAGCTTCCTTTGAGATTGCAGTTGGTGGCGTGGTACACTCATTTTTCTCCAGCATCAGTAGACCACCCGTGGTAGAAGCAATATTCCAATCGGGTGGAATTATGTTTATAGGGACTACTTCAACTACCTTTGAGTTCTTCTCAACTTCTTCTACAACAGCGGCAATCATCTCTAGTTTTTTGGTATCACTTAATGATTTTGAAGCTGGTGCACTGGCCCTTCTTATGATTTCATCGATGGAAGGAGTGAGATTCTTTGTTTCGTCGAGTGCAGATGGTACTGGATATTCTTCTGCTTCTATAGTCTCATCGACATCTTTATGCGAATCAACACTTCCTGTGATATCTTCCTCAGTGTTGTCACAAGTTTGTTGGTGTTGTTGTTGGTCAGCTACTTGTCGTTGTAGCTGTTCTATTATTGTTGCAAACCTGCTTTCAGCAGCCTTCCATGCCATCTTGCACAATTCACAAAGATGAGCATCCTAGAGGTCTACTTCTCGGCGTTGCTCTTGCTCCTGTTGATGCTGTCGGCCCTCTGGATGCTGTGGGTCTTGCTGCTACTCTTGTTGGTGTTGTGTTGTCCCCGGAGGCCGAGGCAGCTTTCTACTTATCGACACCATTGCATCTGTTAGGATCTTGATTGTTTGCTTTACTTGTTCATCTGGTTCAATTTTAACTCCATTTCCTTTTCACCTATGTCTAAAATAGTTTTGCTCATCGTGATAATCAATTGGTAGAACTTTTCATAAAGAGCAACAAGGTCCTGCAAAAGTGAATGTAGTTAGTGGAATATGGAGATGCTAGGTTGGATACGTAGGTGTAATCTGAAAAAAAATGGTAGAACACTACATAGACTTGCTGTGTGTTGGGGTTGGTGTCACCGGGCCGTCCCCAACACCGGAACGCCCGACGATCCACACACTGCACGTCCCGGGGCAAGCTCACAGCACGACCCGACCCTGGGTTCACCGAGACGAGCAACCAGCTCTACCCGGGAAATCAAAAACCCGGTTAAGAGCCTACGTAGCGGAACACAAAACGGCTATACACTAGCCCACTTAGAAAATGGCTCCAACACTTAGCCAAAATCCAAGCCCACAAGAAACGAGTTTGAGAGAACGAACAAGCACAACACAAGGAATGTGAAACAGGCTACCAAAGCCCCGGGCCAAACTAGACCCCGTCCCTTATATTAAACCAAGTACCTTAGGAATATTACAAGAGACAACACTTGAACCCTCTCAAGCTCAACAAGAGCACCCTAGCTATTCTTTCCCTAGAATACAAGAGTTACTCTCCACTAGACTTTCTCTATCTAGCACTTACACTCTTTGTGTCTTCTTCTTGCTGTTGTTGTTGCCTACAAGTGAGCTCCCAAGCTCCTTATATAGGCCAAGGGAGACAAGCCCCTCCCTCCTAGGCATACAAAGTGGACTACATGTATTGGGCAACCCTAAACTAAGCCTTCAAGCTTGGCCAACCATCTTGCACCTCCTTGGCTCTTCATGCATTGGCCAGTTTTGCCTCCAAGGGTCCCACATGCTCCAATTCCAGCCATCTCTAGAAGCTTCCAGCTCTCCCTAGAGTTCTCGGCCCGTCCCGGTCCTTCACTCCGCATGCTAGAGCAAACCGGCACCCATTTTTCCCGCATCCCGCTGTTTCCCGCACAGCCGTCTGCCTGACCCAAGCTTTCTCGCGCCCGGCTGCGTCCCGTTCCTCAGGTTCCAGTATTTTCTCGGTCACCCCCGATTAGCAGCATGTTTCCCGCGTCCCGGCAAGACCCGGCAGCATTTTCTCGGTTAGCTGCCTGCTTCACCCGCATCACCCGGATGCCGATGCCCATGCACAAGCATCCACCGCTCACCCGGCATTTCTCGCAAGACCTGCCTCCTTCGTGTGCATTCCTCGCACACCGTTCCCGCAAGAACCGGTACAACCGTGCCCACATGCATAAAAGCACAACTATAATCCAACAAGGAACCACTCGTACCTTGGAAATCCATCAAGTCCATGTACTGAAACCACTAGGCTTCATCCCTCCTTCGTGCAACCGGCACTAACCCGTGCCCGCTTGAGTTGTCCAGCAAGTTTCTCGAACCGTTGCACCAAGTCCCGCACATTCCCGTGCACCAGCTAGCTTTCCTCGATCAGCTAGTACCTTATGAAAACGAGGGGCTAACAGACCTCTCCCACTTGAACGTTTGACGCCCTCGTGAAATGCCAAGCCGATGCTCCAACGCACCCGATGCTTCCAAGCACCTGTTGCCCAAAACCAGCAATCCGGCTACATCAGCCATGCAGCCCCGTGGGAACTCCAGCCCACCGTTCAACCAAACCCGTACATACCAAGGGACCCGACGCCACTCGGCATCCATTGCATTTCACGCAACCAGCTACAATTCTATGCAGCCCGCTACCCGGACAAAGCAGCACCTATGGGACTTAGCCAACCCACCACTTGAGCATTCCCTTGCCCAAGCACCGATTACCTTGAACCTGGCAATCAGTTGCACACCCGGCATTTTCCTGTCTTGACCAACATGCATTGTCCAAAGCCGTCGCAGCCTCTGCCGCATTCGTCACCCGCCTCTGCAAGTAACGGGACTATAACCCAGCCCCCAATCCCTCAACCATTTTGCTGCCTCCATCCTCCAGAAGCAACGGGACCGTTTTATGCTCATGGCTCCCGAGCCTCCGCCCATGCTCTACACAAGCTTGAGGGGATTAAGTCGTATCAGAGCTGCTTCCACAGCCGGCTCTTCTTCATCCCGTACAACTTGATGGGCGTTAATCTTAGCCTTAGTTTTCAAGGGACAATCCCTTACCCGGTGTCCCGCTTTGCTGCATCCAAAGCAGCTACCATTCTTGGCGTTCCCGGCAGCACCACCCGTACTACCCGTTGCCGGCTTGTCCCTATAACCAGCAACTGACTTGCCTTTCTCTGCAGCGACCCGTTCCTTCCTTGCCCGGTTGCTGCCCGCATGCTCATCAAGCCGAAGGTCTATCAACCCGTCAGCCACCCGCAATGCCTCGGCCAAGTCCTTGATCCCACGACGACGCAACTCCGCTTGCGCCCAAGGTTTCAACCCGGCCATGAAGTTGAAAACCTTATCCTCCTCCGACATATCCTTCACATCCAGCAGTAAGGACGTGAAAACCTTGATGTACTCATGGACGGTTCCCGTTTGCACGAGCTTTTTCAGCTTTTCCCGTGCTTGCCAAGACGCATTTGTGGGTAGAAACTGCTCCCTCAGCTCCCGTCTCATCTCTTCCCACGTCGCAACCCAGGCGGCATGCTCGTCAGCACATCTCGTTTGCCACCACTGCTTAGCGTCTCTCGTCAAGTACATAGCCGCTACCGTTACCTGCCTGGTAGCCGGGATTTTTGTAGCGTCAAAATACTGCTCAATATCCCACAAGAAGTTTTCCAACTCTTTGGCACTTCTCCCGCCCGTAAAATTAACCGGCTCTGGTACCTTCACTTCCCGACCCGTGTCCAGGGCACCCGATATCGCCCGTTTCAGCAAGATCCGCTTGCAGCGCTTCAATAGCACCCAAGTTTTCCTCAAACTCCAGCCTTGTCGCCCTCTCGTCAAGGCCATGTTGCACGACGTTCAAGTCCGCCCGCAACCCTTCAACCGACTGGGCAGTAATCGCGTCTACCCGTCTTTCCAACTCTTCGACCCTCCGGGCCAAACCAGCCACCATAGCATACACACTAGGAGGCTCCGCAGCATCCGTCTCCAAAAGACGTTCCAGCTGCTCTACCGTCGCTTCAAGTTGCGCTACCCTTGCAGCTTCAGCTATATCTTCTTGAGTCCCCGGCCTTCAATACCAGCAAAACTCCGTGCCTTCCGCAAGCACCGGCCACACCAAGTGGCCAAACGACACGTCCCCGAACCTGAGGCTCTGATGCCAGACTGTCACCGGGCCGTCCCCCAACACCGGAACGCCCGACGATCCTCACACTGCCCGTCCCGGGGCAAGCTCACAGCACGACCCGACCCTGGGTTCACCGAGACAAGCAACCAGCTCTACCTGGGAAATCACAAACCCAGTTAAGAGCCTTACACTATCCCGCTTAGAAAACGGCTCTAACACTTAGCCAAAATCCAAGTCCACAAGAAACGAGTTTGAGAGAACGAACAAGCACAACACAAGGAATGTGAAACGGACTACCAAAGCCCCGGGCCAAACTAGACCCCGTCCCTTATATTAAACCAAGTACCTTAGCAATATTACAAGAGACAACACTTGAACCCTCTCAAGCTCAACAAGAGCACCCAAGCTATTCTCTCCCTAGAATACAAGAGATACTCTCCACGAGACTTTCTCTATCTAGCACTCACACTCTTTGTGTCTTCTTGTTGTTGTTGTTGTTGCCTACAAGTGAGCTCTCAAGCTCCTTATATAGGCCAAGGGAGACAAGCCCCTCTCTCCTAGGCATACAAAGTGGACTACATGTATTGGCAACCCTAAACTAAGCCTTCAAGCTTGGCCAACCATCTTGCACCTCCTTGGCTCTTCATGCATTGGCCAACTTTGCCTCCAAGGGTCCCACATGCTCCAATTCCAGCCATCTCTAGAAGCTTCCAGCTCTCCCCAGAGTTCTTGGCCCGCCCCGGTCCTTCACTCCGCATGCTAGAGCAAAACGGTACCCATTTTTCCCGCATCCCGCTGTTTCCCGCACAGCCGTCTGCCTGACCCGAGCTTTCTCGCGCCCGGCTGTGTCCCGTTCCTCAGGTTCCCGTATTTTCTCGATCACCCCGATTAGCAGCGTGTTTCCTGCGTCCCAGCAAGACCCGGCAGCATTTTCTCGGTCAGCTGTCTGCTTCACCCGCATCACCCGAATGCCGACGCCCATGCACAAGCGTCCACCGGTCACCCAGCATTTCTCGCAAGACCTGCCTGCTTCGTGTGCATTCCTTACACACCGTTCCCGCAAGAACCGGCACAACCGTGCCCACATGCATAAAAGCACAACTATAATCCAACAAGGAACCAAAGGGACTCGTACCTTGGAAATCCACCAAGTCCATGTACTGAAACCACTAGGCTTCATCCCTCCTTCGTGCAACCGGCACTAACCCGTGCCCGCTTGAGTTATCCAGCAAGTTTCCCGGACCGTTGCACCAAGTCCCGCACATTCCCGTGCACCAGCTAGCTTTCCTCGGTCAGCTAGCACCTTATAAAAACGAGGGGCTAACAGTTGGCCTGTGTATCCTCCTTCTGTGATTCCCACTCTGGGTGTTATTCTCAGCATGCTGCTGAGGACAGTTTCTTGAGACGTCCAAGTGTCTGGACATCTGTGAAATTGCTTCCCTGAAGTCTTAATCTGTCGTCCAGCATCTTTTGATCCCAACATTTGATCACAGAGAATGACCTCGGATGTGCTCTCTCATACTCACACATGTCAAGGTAGCACAACTAACAAAAAAAAAATAAAAAAAAGTTGGTGTTAATGATATCAGTACAAGCAAATTGGATAAACATTGTAAGCAATATGGATAAATAGTAAAATTTGTACGGATATGGTAAGTACCAGAAAAAAAGTGATCGGTCCGGTGAATGGTTTCCCATCGTGGTGATTTTGCATCCTTTGACCAGTGCATCAATCACATATTGACACCAATTGTATTCTGTCACCTCATTCATGTTCACAAGGGATTTCAGGATGTTCATAGTGATTCTGGAGGTGGTGTTTCCATGTAGGAATGTGTTCACAATAAAGACCAGGAAATCTCATTTGAAGTCATCACCATAATCTTTTCGACTAGCAATTAATTGTGCCGCCGTGGATCTCGTTAGCAGGAATTTGTTACTGTATCCCATTCTTTTCTTGAATGCATCCACCATCTCTGCGTGGTCCGTTATAGCGAGATCGTTCTGTTTGAATTCTTCCACTGGTTTGGGTCCTCGAGGAAGATCAAGTACAGCAACAACATCTTCCTGTTTGATATCCAGTACATTGTTGCCATTCAATGGGACTTGTCTCACACCGGTCTGGAAGTTGTTTGCCAGAAAGATAGATAATGCTGTTGGAATATTTTTGATTTTGAGATCCAGCAAGGCGCCAAATCCCATATCTCTGATAGCCTACCTTTGTAGTTGGCAATAATCTACCACATTTGGCTCTTCTGTAAGATCTGTTGGTTTATTGATTTCAATGATGAGTTGGAAGAGATGGTTTGGTGTCATCCTGGTCTCCAATTTCTTGACACAATCTTCAGAACTGATTGGTTGTGGATCTTGACCAATCATCAGTTTGTTCTCAGGTTTCGTTCTTTTCTTTTTGGGTTTCTTATCATCAGCGGAGTCATGATCATCAGCGACCACAAGTTGCTTTGGATTTCCTGTCAGCGTGCTCTTCTTTCTCTTTGGTTTCCTCCACAAGTTGTGGGGCCTTGGACTTTGACCAGGGGACTGTTCTTCTTGTATTGATTTTTGTTTTTTAAATATTGTCAGTGTTCCTTCAGGGAGCTCTATTACCTCTGGTTCAGGATCCGGTGATCTGTTTGGGTTGCGGTTAAGGTCGTGGCTTGCGCTGATCCGTCCGTGGCTATGTTTTGTTCTAAGCTCCTTTAGGGCACTGTTGGCATTGGACAATCACTAAGAAGTCAGGGGACAAAATAGCAGGATATGAAAAGGAGCAGTAATCAAAAAAGGAGTAACCAGTATGAAATAGGTGGATAACCAGCAAATAATGTATGGACATGTAGCTACATAAAAGCACATCTAAAAAAACAATGGATAACCAGTTTACATCCTGCGGATAACCAGTATAAAATGGGTGGATAACCACAAACAAAGTTTGGACAAGCACCCCATAGCACACACACAAGAAAACTTGGATAACCAGTTCAGATATATAGTGGATAACCAGTTCAGTCTGTCCATGCCACATAGAATCAAATGTAAAAAAAGCATGGATAACCATTTTAAACTTGTGGATAACCAGTTTACAACTTGTGGATAATCAGTTTACAATTTGTGGATAACCAGTTAACAACTTGTGGATAACCAGTATGAAATGGGTGGATAACCAGTATGCTATGTGGATAACCAGCTTACAACTTGTGGATAACCAGTATGAAATGGGTGGATAACCAGCAAATAATGTATGGACATGTAGCCACATAAAAGCACATCTAAAAAAACAATGGATAACCAGTTTACACCATGCGGATAACCAGTATAAAATGGGTGGATAACCACAAATAAAGTTTGGACAAGCACCCCATAGCACACACGCAGGAAAACTTGGATAACCAGTACAGATATATAGTCAATAATCAGTAACAAAAAAACACAAAAACATGAATAACCAGTTCAGTTTGTCCATGCCACATAGAATCAAATGTAAAAAAAGTATGGATAACCAGATTACAACTTGTGGATAACCAGTTTACAACTTGTGGATAATCAGTTTACAACTTGTGGATAACCAGTTTACAACTTGTGGATAACCAGCAATTATGGCATGAACAACCATCACATAGCATACGCAGGAAAACATGGATAAGCAGTTCAGATCTAGTGAATAAACACAAAATATTACTGGATAATCAAAAAAATAGGATCCCGGAGTAATATACTTACCAGTGAAGCATGTATAGATGAAGGAGAGCTTGAGATGGCCGGAGGTAGGGTTTCTCGCCGTCGTCTGTGTGTGTGTGTGTGTGTGTGTGTGTGTGTTTATGAAAGAACAGACTGACAAAAGGAAAAAACGCAGAGAGAAGATGAAGTTATCAAAATCGTCTTCCAGCGGAGGTTTTCCGTCGACTTTCTGTAATTTTGTGGTGGTGGTCAATTTTGTATTTGCCCTAAAATGGAGAGTTTCCATCAACTGTGTATTTGTGTGTGTTTGTGCGTGAGGATGAAATGGATGAAAACAATTTTGTGTGTGCATTTAATGTAAAGATAAAAACAGTTGAGCGCGTGTTGTGCATGTGTTTGGTGGGGGGAGAGGGTATATGGTATACCCAAGTGCACTGGATACGAACTCAGAAAGAATAGTGATATCTAATGGACGTGTAAACTCTTCTTTTTTTAAAAAAATTATTTCAATGTTGAAAAGGATGCATGTAGAACATCATTGCGTTATTTAATTACCAACTCTCTTTTAGAAAGACTCGTGAGTCGCGACCACTTCTTGAACTACTAGTGATATCTAGTCGCGCAATGCGCGATCCTGGCCCAGTTTATCTGTAGATCTTAGAAATATTTATATTTGAAAAAAATAAAATTTTGTATTTGGAGCGATATATTTAAGAAATTTTTGAAGGATTTAGAAATGTTTTATAAGTGTGATCATAGAAATATTTGTATTTCGCAAAAAAAAAAAAAAAATTGTATTTCGCCATGTATGTTTTAAAAATGTTTTATAAGTGTTACTTATTAAATATAAATAGCTTAATCGAATATATGTGTTGAAGTAAATGTTAGATAAAATATAAAAGCATCCTAATAAATTTAAATATTAGTAAGATGATTTATTGATGTTCTCCATTGGTCGTGCCAAATCAATACTTAGTTTTGGAGATTTTTAATAGCTTTGTAATAAGCTTCATCCGAAGGGTATACGCTTAAAACAAAATTGACACTTTGTAACAAAAAAACCTAATTGATCAATTCAATTTAAAAAACCACTCTAGTTGAATGAAACATAAAGAAAAAATTTAAAAAAAAAGTGTCACGTAAAGTGCAAAGGGAGATTTAGTAATTTAGTTATGGTTAGACAAAAGGACAATTTAGTATTTTCTACATGCCACGTGGCAATCATATGAGGTGTTTGAAAGGGAGGTTTTTGTTTCTAATATAGTAGGATATATCCTCATTGACAAAAATAATTTTATACAGCATACAAAACAAAACGAAGCTAATTTTAACATGTAGCAATGGCTACAATGCTAGTTGCAAACAGCTAATTAATTATCTAGAACCATACAACTAAACACTAAGTAAACCATGCCTAAGTCGGATGTCCATTAATCCATTTGAGTTCATATTTCGCGTAGCTATTGCTAAAGTCCATTACGGCCAAGTTATATGTCCACTGGCAGAATCCAAACAATGAGTGAAGTTGCTGTTAAATTCTGTAGAGAGTTAACTTGTAAAATATACAAAGAAAAAACCTTCCAGAACAGAAACAGTTGGATTCTTAATAAACGAAATTGGGATCTGCAAATTAAATTTAAAAAAAAAAAAACAAAAATTAAATAATCAAATTCCAGTTTTAATTGCAAGTAGAGATAACCAATAACCAAAAATTGTATGATTGCAAATGAGATACTACAAGAGTCCAACTAAATAAGCAGCAATTCGTACATATTTGTCAAGTACTCCTACTCAAAAAAAAAAAAAAAAGAGGAAACAAGATCGAATAAAATCAATCAATTTTTCTCACTTAGCCAGCCACTTTTCATAATTATGTATTTTCATGTTCCATAATCGGTAAAGATATTACATAAAATGGTTAAAGAGGTGGTCTCGTCACTTGCCAATTCATGATATACATTTACTCCATTCTTGTTACTTTTTAGTTTTTATCTGCTTTAGTATTGCTATACTTACACAATGAAACAAAACACCCCATGGATAATGAAGAAGTTGCTCAACTCTTAGTTTTAAAATGCGAGAGGCGTACCGAGGCGACAAGGGGCTCGAGAGCCGAGGCGAGAGGCGAGAGGCGAAAGCGAACGCATCACTTATGTGAGGCGACCTCTTCCACAAAATATTATAATTTATATATATGTAATATAATATAGTGAACTATATATGTAATTTCAATTATAGATGGCAATTATAGATAATATAATCCATGTCATTCAACAAAAAATAGGGGGAAGTAGATTGAGACTCCATGTAATTCAATGAAATTCAAAAAAAAAAAATAGAGAGGATTCAGGGGCATAATAACAAACACATAGAGTACAAGGAGGTGAACAAAAAATAGTGAATTAATTCAATCATATGTTTTGCTAAAAGACAAAATCAGTTGGATTTTTTTTTCCACTGAGAAGAAGAAGAAGGTGAATGAGACCGAGAGAAGAAGAAGGAGGAAAGAAGAAGAAGAAGGTGAACCGTGAACGCAAGAAGGAGAGAAGAGGAAGAAGGAGGAGGAGGAGAGAAGAAGGTGAAAGCAAGAAGGAAGAGAGAAGAGAAGAAGGAGGAGGACATGCCTGATTTGAAACTTGAAGTTGCAGCGACAGAGATTGGTGGTCGGCTTGTAGCAGATGCAAAGTCGCGCGAAGAAGGAGGAGGAGAGAAAGAGATACGGCTGAATAAAAATATGGATAGGGTAAAACTTATCTTTCCCTTTTCTTTTTCATTAAAAAAAAATATATGACTAAAGTGACAAATACATGTAGCGCTCGCCTCTAACGCATCACGCTTGCATCAAAAGCGAGCGCTTTTTGCGCATTACACTCGCTTCAGGTAAACGCCTCGCATCACCCCTTGTGATGCGATGCCATGGTCGCCTCGCCTCGCTTCTCACCTAGGCGTGCCTCAGGCGCGCTTTTTTAAACTAAGGCTCAACTTAAGACATTTAGCACTTCTTTGTGTTAATGTCTCATGTCAAAGTTTGGTTTAATTGAATTGGTAAAGGATTGGCTTTTTCTACAGTCGGCATTTACAATCTCTAATTCAACCACATGTAAGAATCCCTTGGGGTAAATTTTCTCTCTTGGGGTAAATTTATAACTTCGGAATTTGGTCTCATTGCTTGGTTAGCTTGCTTAGAACATCTTAATACAAGGAAGAGAATTGCAAAATAGATTCAAATATGGATAGAAGGTGCCCGCTGTGTTTGATGATTGATGAAACTGTTAATCATCTCTTTTTTGAATGTTAGCTTTTCTCACTCCAAATCATTACTTGAGTCATAGTTCTTATTGGTTGTGTTGCTTCATGCTTTCTTTGATCAGATTTTAAGGTGATGGTATTGTTGAATTATGGTTCAAGTTCAATGAGAAACGACATCACTAGAATAGTAGCATCTGTTGTATATCACATTTGAAAAGTTAGAAATCGATCGATTTTTAGTCTGAGTAGGTTAGTAGAACATGTAATCATGAGTAATATTGTTTATCACCTAAATATGAAGCTTTCTACTATTAAAGAAATCAAGGGAACTTTAAAAAATGAGTTTGGTGTGCTAAAATGAAGATCTCCTAGAAGTTTATTTGAAGATTCAACTTGAAAAAAAAAAAAAAAAAAGTAAGAGTTAACCTGCTTTTTATTTTTCATTTTCTTTTAAAAAAAAAAAGACAAAGGAGGCTGGCTGACCCACTTTTCAGCAGGTTTTGTGGAAAAAGACCTGTTAATTTCTAAATCTACTCTCTAATGAGAAATAGAAAAAGTAAGGCTCTATTAGGACAAGAGTTTTGAAAATTTATTCAGAAAAGTCTGTTGGAAACAAAAGTTGAAAAGTAATTTTTAGAAAATAATGCATTTGGACAAAATTTTTGAAAACCCTTTTACAAGTTAAAAATATGAAAAAGCCATTTGGATTAGGTCTTCTTCAAAAGTACTTTTTGTTAAAAAAAATAATTAATTAACTTTTTTTGAAAAAAATAAAATTATTCTTTCACAAATTTTTATTTTCATTTTTTCACTTTTCTTTTTTAATTTTTTTGATTATTCACAATTATCTTGTTCTAAATTTTCTTTAACACACTTTACCTTTCAAACATAAATCAAAACTAGAGTGTAGATTTAAAAACATTCTAACTAAATTAAATGCATAATATTTATACAATTCTAACTTGTTAAATACATAATAAGTTATGATAAATAAATACTAACAGATAATTTTTAATTAATTTCTAATTACTATCATTACAACAGTTGTATTCGTGCTAGCAGTAAATTCATTATATTTATGACATCATTAAAAAGAAAATAAATGTGATACAAAAGTATTATTTTACTAAAAAACAAAAATTAAATTCTTATACACTCAAAGACAAATAATTTGTGAAAAATAATATATTAAAAAGAAACAAATAATGAAAAATTGCAAAAAAAAATTTAAAATGTAATTGGTGAAGAATAAAAATATAAGAAAGAAATAAAAATTACCTTTTCTTTAGTAAAAAAAATAATTCGCCTTTTCATATACATAATAGTTAAACACAATATGCATTGACTTTGATATATAAATTTGAATGAAATTTTTAATTTCAAAAATATTAACAATGGAACTTAATAGAAAAATCTCATCGCGTAGATTAATTTGATATATAGCACGTTGTCTAATAATTTATATATTAAAAGATATAATCATTTAAAAAATTAGGAGAAAATTAAAAATAAAGAAAAATTAAAAAGAAAAGTGGGGTCGAGAACAGAGTGAGGAAGAGATGGAAAAGGTGGGGGAATGGGAGCCGCGCGTGTAACGCACCATTTTTTTTGGTCTTGTTAATAATATTCATGACCCGTTTTTTTATAATTTGCTTTCCAGATTTAGACTCGCGAACGGAGACGAAAAGATTGTTTCAAAAAATTGAAAAATACTCCCTACCTATTTTCTAAAAAGTTCATTTCAAATTTTTTTTTTTCAAATTGATGTTTAGAAAAGACTTTAATTATTTTATCCAAATGCATTTTAAACTCTAAACATACTTTTTATCCTTAAAAAGTCTTTTTAAAACTCTTGTTCAAATGGAGCCTAAGTATATGGCTCGCAACTCATCTCCAATTGTGAGAGCTAGAATTAACGATTTCACGATCCGGTTTGTCATGAACCCAACATATTCACTGGTTGACCAATGTTACAAACCCTTGATATTCAACATGATATAGGCACAGTGAACTGTCTCGTGCATTGACCCAAGTTTCCATTTCCTTAGATCCAACAAATGGCACATCACTGGATTGGATCAGCAATTTTAGGCTATAGGGTTGAGTCGTCAACATTGGCAAAACCATTCGTTTTGCGCCTGAATTTGATGTTGATAAGTGATAACTGTGAAAAATTGCGTAACCTGAAAAGAGGTCATATTTTGGGACCTTTTTTCCCAAAAAGATCATTCATAGCGACTGGAAAAACCAAGTGCACTATACAAAATTCCAGTTTGAAGCAACTTTGCAATAAGGGGAAAAAAAAAAAAAAAAAAAAAAACAGAACAATGGGATGACTATTGATAGTTGTCAATACCGTCAGGCTGGTTCATAAAGACCTAACATATGGCCGTCTAAACACCTCAATGCGGCAACCTGCCCAATAAACCAGCGAATGAGTTAGTTCCGCAAGTGCAAAATGAGCCATGTGAAATACAACCCTCAAAGGAATGCATGTTCAAAATCTTCAACAGAAGCTTGAACAATAACTATAGTCACAAAAATACTAATGTCTCAAAAGTCAAAACTACTTCCATGTTCTCATCCGAACAGGTAGATACAGAGGAGATTTTACCTTTCCATGAATCTCGTATTTGATTGGACCATCCAACTCTGCGCCATGAGCCATGAGTTTAGCGACAGCACTGTTTATATCAGATACTGTGAAGGATAGCAGTGACGAGTAACCTTTCTGCACAGCATGGTCACTGTAAAACTAGTCAGCTACAAATTGATAACTCATCATCAAACTCTTAGATAAACTATGTATTGACAAACAGAATGAGTTTCTGTTCCTGAAGTAGACTAAAGGGCAGATATACATAATTGCTTGTCCTCCTAGTGATAAATACAGAAGACACACTCCAGAAAATACAAACTTTCAGAAGTTATCTCATATTTCTATGTACAGAACTACAGACGTTATTGCAATGAATCCCTTGGGTAAAAACCAATCTAAAAAGGAGTTTTACATAGGCAAAACTCATTAAATCATCAAAATGTTGTGCCCATAACAATAACCTTGTTGGTACAAATTATAAATCAGAAACCTAATCCATTGTTAGCTCTTGTTTATCAGGAACATGATTGATTGAACCCCGATAGTCAGATACAATAAGGTACACCAAAAATTGACTAAACTACAGGGCCTGTGAGTCAAAGACTGACAAACTAGAAATAATCTATTATGTACTTATCGAATTTCACGCTACACCAAAAGGGCAACATGATTTTTCTCTTGCTTCACCAAACACAATTCTGTTCTAGAAGCATACATAATAAACGTTAAACAACAGCCATTAAACATGGAAATTTCCAGAGATAAACCATAAGTACATTGCTGTTCTTTTCCTTGGATTAAATTATAACTATCACGAACTTTATGGAATTGGGGGAAAATGATTATCCGTACTTTGACATAACATATGAAATTCATGGAAGATTTTCATTTCCTGATCCAAATTCACTAAATTCTTAAAAAAGGTAAGCTTAAACTAGGATAAATGAACATCCACATAAGTAAGATCTATTAACAGGCAAAATAAGGAAACAAAGAAAACTGAGAGCAAGTTAAACAGAAGAAGATACCTCGGTGTCAGAGAGGATTGGGAAGACTGCAAAAGTGCAAGCTTGAGAGGGCCAGGTTGAAGCTCAAGTTCAGCCCATCGAAGAGTACAAACATTGATTTTGAAACCCAATCCTTCCGAGTAGAGCTTTGCTGCTTTTGGGACATCTCTGTGTAACTGAAGCACCCATCTCAATGAAGCAGCCGCCATTGTCTCCCTATGTCTCTGCTACTGGTGATCAAAACTTGAATGAGGAAAATTGGTCTATCTCATTCGATCAATGATAGGACGCCATTGGATTTTCTCAACCCCGCTCTTATTCTCTGAATCTATTCCCAAAAATGCCAAGGAAACAAAAGCCCAGTCTTCAAGCTTCAGGTCCCTAATCCAATACAAAATGATAAATGTTAACATTACGAACCATAATCATGTTTTATCACAACAAAACAAAGAGAAGGAAAGAAAAAGAGAAGAATGAGATGGTGGAGATCGGAGGTCAGGTGGAGGAGGAGAAAAAGCGACTGCGGGCATCAGTCTTTGCTGCTTCGAGAATTACTAGTGCGTGCGAAACCGCACAAGATGCAGCAAAACAAGGTATAATTTTCCCAGATCCAAACAAGAACCAACTCATTCTTTCTCTAACAAGTTAATGTTATTAATATTCTAAGGAAGATGTATAGAAAGAAGCAGAAACTTGTATTAGCACACATTGTTGCATCAAACCTTAATCAGTCAAAATATCAGGAAAATATTCCAATCGCCGATACCGTTTCACATGATGCATATGCCCAAGCAGCTTTTGAAACGCAGGAAAAATAAGTAGCAGGCCATGTTCTTCCTTAAGCTTCATTTACTGAAGTAACCAGAGAGCTGCTTTTGCGCAAACATAATTTTTCCAAATTAGGACAGAATGAGAAGATGTACCGAGATGTACTTTAAGCGATAGCTAAGAATATTTTATAATGGAATTGGAGCTGCACAAAAAACGTCTGCCATAGGAAGCTTCAATTGTCTAGTACTTAAAATTTTGGAGTACCAAAAGCATAACCAGTTCAAAACCAGCACCCTGAAGTAGAAACCTTGGGGAGAACTCATTAAGGCATAAAAGCATACACCTAAAACACAAACAAAACAGGGACACTCTACCAATTAATTGCACCCAGCAATTACCCTTTAGCCTTTACTTCATTTTTCCAACCTTTGCCATTCAATCATTTCAAAGACATGAGCCAAACCAACTCGTAATTTTCAACTTCTGACCTCAATTCAGGCTCAAGTAAATAACTTTAAGTAACCATGAAAATTAAAAGCTACAAAATGTTTTGTACCTTCAACCTGGACCTCAGAATCTTCACTTCCTTGCTCCCTTTTCCTCAGGCCAAGGGTAGATTTCGAAATCGAACGATGCAGAAAAAAGCTGTGAAATTAAAGAAACAAAAGAGGCGGGGAGGGCAAAGAATTGGAAAATCGACACTGAATAGCCCTCCTGGAAACGGCGCAAGAAACAGGCGAAGAGAAGTAAAGAGACTGGCAATGGGAAGGCGAGGAGGAAGAACGAATTGGCTGTAAAAGGACCAAAACTCAGCAGGTCTAATCGCCAGGAATCGGAGCCAAGAATCTGGGTTCCCGCTCATAGAAGATAAAAGTTTGTTGTAAATTCCATAAGTGTACTAGTGGTATTTTCCAAATTACAATTAACCAGTATTAGAGGGTTTTTTTTTTTTTAATCTTTATCAATTATGCTCGTAAGTTTTAGTGACGAGAATGTTGAGAATGATATCTGTCCTAGGTCTAATTTTCTCACATACTATATCACTTCCTGTCCCAACAAAAAATAGTTCAAATTGAGTACAACTGGTTGGAGCACGACTTAGTCGAAGTCTCCTATCTGCGAAACTTAAGTTTGCAGGCTCTTACCTCATTTTAATTTTATTTGGGGTCTTTTCCCTAAAAAAATTAATTAAAATAAACGTAGACAAATTTAAAATTTTCAGAATATCTGTGGACAGGAATATATCCTATGGATTTCTAAAATCCGAGTTCTGATTAAAATTAACGATTCGGATTTCGGAAATCCGAATCTCCATTTAATAATAAAATAATAATTATATAAATTTTGTTGAATAATAGTTTTTAAAAATTCTTAAATGAACAGTGCCGTTCGGATTTGCGGAATCCGAATGTAATTAAAAAATAATAAATTGAAGCGCGAAATATTTGAACTCAAATAAGGAGTCCAGGACCTGGACTCCTTAAATAAACAGTAGTACTCGGATTTACAAAATGCGAGTTCTCAAAAAGAAAAAAGAAAAAAAGAAAATCGAGGCGCGAAATTTTTGAATCCAAAAACCGAAAGTCCATAATCTGATTTTCTGTATTCGGAATTTAGAAATCCGACTGCTTTTAATTTTGGTTGGTGGAAGTAGGCATGTGCAATAAATTAGAGGACCAAAAAATGAATAAAAAAATTTGGAATTGACCAAATTCGGATTTCGGAAATCTGAGTCCACCGTAATTCAGATATAGGAAATCCGAGTTACTTAAGGACTCGGATTTTGGAAATCCAAGTTTATCGTGCTATAAAAGAAAAAAAAATTCAGACAGTTCTCATTCGAGAACTGAGTTGGATTTTCTGTTTCTGCAGCTCAAACAAGGGCGAATTGGAACTTTTGATGCATTCTTGCCTCTAGATACATGGGAATCGTTATTTGAAAGAGGTTATATTGCAAAACCATGTTATTTAGTTTAGTTTTGTGTTATTTTGATTGTTAGAATGATGTATGATAGATTAGGGTTTATGTTGGTTGGTTCTTTGGATGTTATAGGTGTTGATTTTGAGGTTAGAGATGAGAAATCATAGTTATTCATGAGATATGGAAGTTGACTTATAAGTATTTTAGTATTTTATAGGTTTTTTGAATTATGAATGGAGTATGTATGGTGTATTTGTTGATTTTGTTATTAAGAAATGATTAGATATTGATGTTTTTTTTAAACAGTTATCAATGGCACGTAATGTATCATACATGCTTAATTTGTTTCATACAAGCAAGTATATGATAGAGAATGGTAGCATCAACACTTTTTCGAATATGCCAGATGATGTTTTGTTTGTTGAGGAAAGGTTGTCCTATGAGGGATTGATTAGTAAGATTTGTATGACACTTGGTTGGGATCCAGCACACATGAAACTCCACCTTGCTTTGATTTTCGATAGTCCCGGTGGTAGGCGTGTAGTGAAGATCAAGAATAATTTGCATGTAGAGTTCATGAACCGTGTAGATCCAATGTCATGTTTGGATTTATACATAGATTTGGAAGATATCACTCACGAAGAAAGAGAAGCGAGTTTGAAAAACAACGTGTCATTTGTTGGTTTTCCAAGGGGGGAACATGCTAGTACTTCTCGAAACCGTGATGAAGAGGAGACACCTTTATTTGCACAAGATGACTACCGGGAAGAGTCGGATCCCGACTACATAGCTCCAAGCGAAAGCGAAGAAGACTGTGATGTCTCTGGAGAGAGTGATTTTGAAGAAAGTGATGATAAAAGGTTGGAAAATGAGGAAAGGGATCGTAATTCATTGCCCCGACGTGATGTATATAGTAAGATGGGAATATGGAATGCCTCATGTGTGGACAAGGATGAGTTTGCTCTTAAGATGTGGGATGAGACGCCCGAAGGAATGGACATTGGTGTTTGTTTCAAATCCCAATCAGAAGCAAAGCATGCTGTGAAATTATGGAACATCCATAATAAAAGGGAATATACGGTCGCCGCGAGTAGTCCAACGGCGTGGGCTGTGCGATGCAGAACATTAAATGTAGAAAGTGAGGATGGTGAACCACCATGTGAGTGGAAGAAGCGTGTGTCTTTGAAAGCTCACGGCCTTCATGAAATTGTGAGATGGCATGATGCACATAATTGCATGACTCCCGTGAATGATAATGACAATTGGTGTGTGGACGCGTCTTTGATTGCTAGACTCATCAGGAGAAAGGTTGAGGACAACGTAAATTATACGGTAGCCTCGGCACGGAAAGATGTGAAGACCTTATTGAAAGTAGATGTGCTATACAAAAAGACGTGGTACGGGAGGAGGAAAGCCATAGAAGCGGTCTATGGTGATTGGACCTCGAACTTCGAAGAACATCCACGGTAAATATCAACTTTTATCCGTGTATCAAAATATTTGTAGTGTTTTTTTTTTGTTACATGTATTGAAATATTTTAACTATGACTTGTTTGTTGTATAGGTATATCGCTGCGCTTAAGTTTACTAATCCTGAGACTGTAGTAGAATGGGAATGGAAAGAGGGACAAGAAGGTTGGAACAGGGGAAATAGGACATTTAAATACGTCTTCTGGTCATTTGCACCAGTGGCTGCGACGTTTCTTGAATGTCCACCGGTCATTTGTATCAATGGAACCTTCTTGCGTGGTGGATACAAGTAAATTGCTTGTTGCGGTGGTCTATACCGCAAACAAGCACATTTTACCGGTTGCATTTGCGATTGTGAATGAGGAGACAGTAGAGAGTTGGACATTTTTTTATGAGGAATTTGAGGTTATGGGTTGTGCATGATAGAATCGTAAGTGTGATATCCGACCGGAATGCAGGGTTGTTGAGCACAATGTCACAGATGGATGAATGGCGTGATTTAGGTGATGATGGCCACTTTCTTTGCCTCCGCCACGTTCGCAACAATCTTATATCGCGATATAATAGCAAAAAGGTGAAGTGGTTATGTTGGAAGATGGGCACGACGCTTTCAAGAGTGAAATACAACTGTATGAGGGCAGAGCTTATTGAATTCAAACCTGCTGCATGAGAGTGTCTTCGAGGGATTGGAGAGAGTAACTGGGCTCGATTGAAAGCCGGTCTTCGCCGTTGGGGCATAGCGACAACTAACATTTCTGAGAGTTACAACAATGCGTTAAAAGAGATCCGGTTTTTACCAATTAGAGCCTTGATCGATGCAACCTTTCGCAAAACTGTAAAATTCTACAGAGAAGAACAATTGTTTGTGAGAAATTGCATGACACTGATCCCTCCTAAGTTATGAAAAAAATACGAGAAAATGAACGACAAAGCAGCCAGTTTTGAAGCTACCCCTTTTGATGGTGATCATGCTAGGTGGCGGGTTGTTACTCCAACACGGCTAAGAGGTAGGGGTGGGTCTTTGCATACGGTCTACGATGAACATAG